AAAAATCAAGTTTAAGAGTATAGGGGCAAAAAAGGAAGGAGCAGGTTGGGAGGAGAAGAGACCGTGGAAGGGGGAAAAAGAGGGGGTGGGAATCCATCAATTTCCAATCTTCCTCCTAGTGGTTTGTTTTCTATTATCCTGTCTTTTATTTACTTATTTATATTGTGTTTCTCCTTTTCGCTCATTTTCCTTGTGAGACAATTGTTCTTGATCTATTTAAATTGGACTATATTATCATTCTCTTTTTCTCTTGAGTAATATAATCTTTTTAAATTTGCCATTCTGTTTTTAGTTTATCCATAGTCATGAATTCCATCCTTTTTATTAGCCATTGATCAGTTGAGAGTATTTCTTTTAGTCTCCAACTCCTAGCATATACTATTCCTGCAGCTGTAATCATATAGTTAAAATTTTTGTCTCTGCTTATATCCATGGTTTCATCTATTATTCCCAACAGGAAATATGCTGGCTTCATTTGTAACTTTATTTTGAGTATTTTCTGGGAACTATCTTGGATTTCTTTTGAGTAATCGTTTGTTTTTCTGCATGCCCACCACACATGGTAGAAAGTGCCCCTTTGGGCTTCACGTTTCCAACATTTGTTTTGCATGTTTTTGTAAAAAAAATCCTAATTTTTGTGGGGTTATGTACTATTGGTACATCATTTTATACCAGTTTTCTTTGAGATTGTATGCATACAGTATGTGTTTTTCAGTTTATAGTTCCATATCTCTTCCCATTCCTCCAATTTTATGGGGCGGCCTATATCAGTTCCCCATTTTGTCATACATTCTTTAACCTGCTCAGTTTCTGTGATCCATTCTAAGAATGTTCTTATTCGTTATCCTTACTTTGTGGTCAAAAAGTTTCTTTCTCAACAAATCCAGTTATTTTGTCTTTATTATAATATTCTTTTAGTTGCCTATACTGGAACCAGGAGATATTCTTGTAGGCCAGGTTGATCTCTTCTTTTGTCTTCATCACATAGATGCCATTTTGCTTCTTTAAGATTTCTCTATAGGTGGGCCATTTTTCCCATCCTAATAATCTTTTCTTTCCTGCTTCTAATAGAGAGATCCATAATGGGGCTTTTGGATATAGTATATATTTGTATATTTCCCAAATTTTAATTAGGGCGAATTTTATAAAGTGATTCCCAAAGTTTTTTTCTATTTTTATTTTTCCATACCAAAGGTAGGAGTGCCATCCAATTCTTAAATCGAGGCCTTCTAAGCCCCCCCCCCCCCCTCTATTTAATGTCATCCAATCTTTTATCCACATTAGACCACAGGCCTCATAGTATGATTTAAATCTGGCATGCCAAAGCCTCCTCTCTTTTTCTCATCGATTAGATTTATCTGTTTAATCCTTGGTATTTTCTCCTGCCAAATATTTTTGATGGGGTTTTATTCCATTCTTTGAGATTCACGTGCTTCTAATTATTTGGAGATTTTGAAATATATAGAACATTTTTGATGAAACATTCAATTTTATAGTTGCAAGGATAGATTCAAGGTTTTCCAATTTTCCAAATCTTTTAAAAATTTATTTCCACTTAGTTTTATAATTGTTTTTTGGAAGTTGAGAGTTATCTGGGTTTAAGTGTGCCACAACTCCCTTGTGTATAACTTAAGTGCTACAAGTGCCATCATTCACTACCAACTCTGTCGGAACCTAGAAGCCTTAAAGAGCCAGACTCAAGTGAATGTCCAAAATAATAGTTTATTAACACGAACAGAGGACTCAGAAACACTTACTTCAGTGCCTCTGGTCAAAACTAAAAGGTAGCAGCAAGTTTTGGCTGAAAAAACAAACTAAAGGAATAATCTGGATGATCCAGAGAAAAGATCCGGATTAAACTGAGTAGCTTCCAAAGTCCCACAAACTAGCGCAGCAAACAAGGGTCAGACAAACAAAAGCCGTGAAGCAAAAGCCATCATAAAAAGAAGTCCGAGGTCGAAGAAAGCCAAGTCCAAAGCTGCAAGGTTTCCAAAGTCCACGTAGGCAGCGTCGTCGTCAAAAGCAGTCCGAAGTAAAGGAAGGGGAAATCCGCACTCACTGGAATTCAAGCCGAGTTGAAACAAGAACGGCAACACCAACCTGCAGATCCAGGACCCAAACCCAACACGAAAGCGGCAGCTACAAAACCCAAGGCACGAAACCAACACTTTGCCTTCTGCAAAGTTCTAACATTTTGGTGCTTACTTTTAACTACAACTCATCATCCGATGATGAGCTGACCTCCACCCCATCGTTAACACACACAGGTGACTTTGCCTCTGCACCTGAACGCCGATGCCCATCCCCCCAACTCTTCCACCTCTTGTCAAGACTTAGTTCTCCCCATGATTCCACAGTATCTCCCAATTGCCAATCCCCACCACCAGAAAACCCTGCAAACATGTCACTAGATGTTGGTTGAGTACACACATCCCGGACTTCCTACACCTTGGTCCAATCCAGTGATTCATCCTCATTCCCATCACTCCCAGACCCATCATTCCCAGAGAAATCCATGAAATCCTCCTCCTCTGTGGGAGCAGTAAGTATATCCCGAATATTCTTCCTTTGACGCTCCTCATCGGACTCCTGCTCCCGAGTAACCCTCTTAGTTCCTCTATACATCCCCATTGTATCTCCCTCCTCCTCACTCATTTCACTCTCAGAAAACCCTTCAAAGGAATCTTTGTCAGTGGGTGACATAAGTATTTCCCGAATCCTCTTCCTCTGCTGTTCCTCATCTACCTCCTGAGCACACCTTCCTCCCCCCCTTCTACCACTCATACTACCATTTGTAGTGTTACCAAAAGACTGTACTACAACAAACTCTCTGGCTAGAGAGACCGGCCTGGTTCCTACGTCTGGGGACCAGACCAATGTTACCTCTTGACTTGGTTTAAGTGTGCCACAACTCCCTTTGTATAATTTAAGTGCTACCAATCAAGACTACAACTTTAAAAAATTACCATTACTTGATAGATGTATGAATATGTCAGAAAGTTGGGGGGAATGATCCTCTATTACCTTGTTTCATTCTCTAGAAAATTCAAGGAGGTAGCCCTTTTAATTTATTTTTTAAAAATGTATTTCATATCTAATTTTAAAGGGTCCCTAAAAATCAGTGAATCATCTAAACATTCTGAAATTTGGTGAGCTAATAGTGGAGGATATGTAGTACCACAGTAGCAAATTCGATCAGGATAACTCAAAATATAAGGGCAAAAGGAGCTCCTGAATTTTCCCCATTGCCAGTGCTGTTTTTTCCCTATTGCACAATTGTGTCTGCCATTAAAGAATTACTTATGAAGATTCAGAAGTTTTGTAAATGACTTT